AGTGATTTCTCTCAAATGATGCTCTCTCATCACCTCTCATGCTAACATAATGAAGGCCGCCTTGATGCTGAGCTGTGTGTATAATAAAACTAATGTGATGGCTTGACTCTGCCCGCTGTGCTTCATGCATGGCTGGCTCAATCCATCAATAGCTGATCTTTTACAGCGAGTGCTCTGCACAAGCGCGTTAAAAATACAGATTTAAGCCACTGATACTGGACCTCGCCTTGTACAGCGAGGAAGCACAGCTGACTCACCTGTGTCTGGTGATTCTTAGGAGGATGTTCCTGTGTGTGTTTGCAGATAGGAAAGCCTGCACCACCCTCTCCCACCAAAGACAGGAGAAACAGCATGGGTTCACCCCTCAGAGGGCCGAGCAGCCCCATACGCAGGATCAGCCGTGTCGAGAGACGGTATGATTAATCATGTGTTCTTCCCTAAAAAATACAGCCACGTTAGTCATTAGCGTGAAATGTTTTAGTCAAAATATTTAGACTACAGGTGTCTTGTGATTTACAGCAAAGGAGAAGTAGTTTATGAGTTAGTCACAGTTTCCCTGTCATGTGAATAAAGCTCTTTTATGTTTGTGTTTTGTTGCAGTCCCTCCGGAGAGAAGAAGGTTTTGGATCAAAAGGCTGCTGCAGACATGAGCGGTTACCAGATCAGAGTCTGAAGGAGAATTTTTAGCTCGCTTGTAAAGTCACAAGGTACCACGCACTTGTTTCACGCGACCGCTGATTTACTGCAAGGCTATTCTTTGTACACTTTGGCCTATTCACGGGGATGCAATGTTGAATAGGTCACCAGCAACTTTTCCTTTACAAACAAACGCCTCATTCAGCTTCCCTCCATCTATGTTGTCAGAGGCTTTTTCTGGAGCAGTTACTGTGCATAGTAATTGGTGCTGGCAGCGTTCCCAAATGATAAAACGGGGACAGAAGTGTAGTACTTTGTAAACATTTTTAAATAACTGCGGAGTTTTGCGAACTCAACACAAGAAATATGACTTTCCCCTGACGCTGGGTGAGACTTCCACTCAGTGTAGATGTGCTACTGGACATATCATAGGTTTCTGTGGTTTTATTATGTTCAACAAAAGCTCTTAAGGCTTGTCTGCAATCTGTATCGTCGTACTGTAAGTGTGCAAATACATGTAATGTGATTTTAAATCCACTTAAGCTCTGCTGGGCAGCAACTTGCTTGTGTAGTAACTAGTTTGCAGACCACTACCCTTGTGCCTTGTATGAAAACTCAAAGAGAAGACTTTTTATATCCACTCCATTATTCTCATTGTCTAACTCAACACACAGCAGCGTAATCTCTGCTCTTCCAAAACACTGAAAGTGAGTGAAGTCAGATGTGTGAGGCAGTTTTTTGACATTTAATATCCTGATGCTAGCATGTTTAGCATGCTATTGAGACTGAATATGGACGGACGTTATTCTGGCTGCTGAATCTAAAGCAAGACAATTATCAAGGTGGCTCACAGCAACGCATCCGCATTTAATGTGGATGCAAAGTAACGACAAGTCGGTTTAAATGTACTGTATAACTGCTTTATGTGTACATCGTTCCTAACTTTTGTTTGTAGCAACTTTATCCAATGTTGAACTTGCCTTAAGTGGTCATGACTCCCGCTTAAGATAAGGTGTAAAGAGGTTTGTTTACAGCACTTTTATCTGCATTTTGTATTTTATTTTTTATCAGAAATTCTGTCATTTTATACTTCCGTCAGTGTTGGTGATCACCAGTCAGCCAATATTTACCACACACTGTTTTGAACATGTTGCCACAGCCAGCATTTTAATGTGTACAGTGGGTGTTGTCCATTTTTGTTTCAGTGCTCTGTAACACGATTGTTTTTGTACCAAGACTGTTGATTTACAGGATCACAATAAAAGGTCAAAGTGGCAACACAGTTTTGTTTTCGGATTCGACTTTGTGATAACTCATAATTGTGTATTTTATTACCTTGTCCTGATTTAAGCAGGCCTGGTCGAAAAATTCAGCGATTAATCAGTAAGCACGCTGCTATTAGTTGTCAGGCGGGCTGGGTGTCAGGCAGGGAATGGCGCCAGTTTTCTGTCCAATAGTTCAAACTGAGCACAGGGTGTCCTCAGCTGAAGGGCAGCTTCTGGCAACAAGGCAAATAACGATGAGGGCAGACTCGGGAGATCTCTTAACACTTCCTGTCAGGTTTACACAGAGGAAACTTAATGCCAATAAATCCATAAAATGGAAGCATAAGCCTCTGTGTGCAGCAAAACAGTAGATTAAAAAACACTCAGTAAAGCCAAGTGGGATGGTTTGTTCACCTTCTACATCTCAGAATATCTGGGAGGTAAAACTCTGCAAACAAAAGACTGAGACTGTTTGCCATTAGCAATCCGTTCGTCATATTGTTTAGGTGCAGCCAGCGTTTGCTGCAGTCATATAAATAATAGCTGTAGTGTGCTGGCACCATGTGTGGTCATGTTCCGTTTAATGGATCCCCAAGTGGGTGGATGTAAGTCCAGCACAGTAATCAGCTAATATGTCTTAATGGCAGCTGCATTCAGTAAAACCCAGTCAGCAAGGAACCACTTCTATGCATAGGCCAATAATGTAGCTCTAAAAGGCAGGTAAAATACTGTCATGTTACAAAGTACTACTGTAAAACCACATACAGGATTCTCACATTTTCATGGACAAAACTTAAAAACCCGTTTAGATCCTGCATCCATTCCACTGGACATAACTTTTCTAGGATATCTAGATCTATGATTACTGTTGTCTGACTCCACCCAAATGCAGACTTACTAGATAGGATGTCCATACGCCAATCACAGTGTTCCATATCATCCCAAGTGGACTGCAATAGAACATCACCTTTTTCAACAAGCATGATCGACTGTGGGGCAAGGAGGAAGCGCAAGGCACATTTTAATCTATTAATCATATTGTTGAAGTACATAATTTGTACTTAAACAATTTTTAAAGTAAACATGAGATGTTATTTTAGCTTTTACGCAGTATTTTTTCAAAGATGTCTGCTCATTGGAGGGGACAGGGGATCTAAATGTCACCGGGCAAAGAATAGGCAAGGCAGCTTTATTTATAGGGCACATTTCACTACAAAGGAACCTAATGTGCTTGACATGAAAGAAACATGAAAAAAACATCAAGCATATGCCACAAAAGGGCATTACGATGATCATGAATACATACCCTTAATACGTAAACACACTCACGCTGCCATTGATAGGTCTGAGAAGAGACGTGTTGAGATTCTTTGCCCATTGGCATGGACAGAAAAAATGGAACACATAAAGTATCCAAATCAAAAAAAAAAAAATGCTAATGACTTATGAATGCATTTTAAGTAGAAATCCACCATTACAATATTTGTTTGTGTGTTTGGAACATGTTTAGTTCTTATGTCCTTTAATACTTTTTGGACAAAACATGGAGGCCCAGCTGGCTGCACAGAGGGATGCGCTTCATCACGCTGTGGAAACACATAGCACAGATGACAGACAGATCAGTTGATTTTCGCCTTTTGGTCTTGTCATGGCACTTGTTATGTGCAGGAAAATGACAGATTACCATTTGCCATCCACCCCTGGTGGAGTTTTACCATCTATAAATAGTGTGTATGCATGGTCTTCAATCACTTATGGCCATACCACCCTGAATATGCCCGATCTTGGAAGCTAAGCAGGTAGGCCGGGTAGGCCGGGTCAGTACTTGGATGGGAGACCACCTGGGAACACCCTGGCTGCCTATGTCAACTGCTCAATCTCAAAAATGCAGCACAATTTAAAAGAATTGTTGGGGCAACACATTAAATCACACCGTCACATTATTACTCTTGTTCCCTTGCCCTGTATTATTCAAAAATATCAGACTTTACCTCTATTCAAACGTAATTCCAACAATCTGGCATACATGGAGGGAGAGACGGGATGCGAGAGAAAATAAACGTACAGGATGGTAAACAAAATGTCACACATCAACGCATATCAGAGCTATGTTAAGTGAACAGCTACAGTTATATTATGTTATGTTAAAGGTTATCCACAGATTATTCTAACAATGAATTTCATTACACACAACAAAGGCCCAAGACTTTCACAAGTTATGGATTTTACGAATTCCATGATTTTTCCAGGCCTGTAAAACAAGACTGTAGAATATGACCTGCCCAGGTTTTCCATGACTTTGAGAGCCCTGCACATATGAGAGTGGTGAGATTTCTGCAAGTGTTTTCTCTTTAAAACAAGTTTGTTAATGTTGAGGCAGTTGCCTTGGTGAATTATGAGGACACAGAAGTTGTGATGAAGATAAACAAATCCCTCTCCTCCCTCCCAGTAGATTCCAGATCTAGATTCCAGATGTCAAACACCATGTCCACCAGTGTTTGTAAAACACAGAAGCAGAAGGCATAATGACCTATTTAAGAAAAAATCCTACTGACCTACTTCGTTTACTTACATGCATCTGATACTGCTGGGGGAGAAACACATAATCTGATTCATCAAAACATTTAACTTTTTAACTCAGGGATGACTGCGTTATGGTAAATATATTCACAAAGTGCACTGACTAGAATGTGAGTGCAAGACATCCCGCTGATGGTAATCACCTCTGCAGACATTTTATAGCCCACACATAACACAAAGCTCTCTTACTGAGCCCCATCATGCATGAACACTCAACTATCTGAATGAATTATTCATTCATGCATCAGCCAGACACACACATGCACACACAGAGACATCTTTGCCCTGACAAACTGAGTGCCTCAGCGTAGTGGGATGGGAGGGGCAAAGCCAACATTCAGGTCACAATCTCAGCACCACACCAGGCAGGATGCACAAAGAGCCAGACACCCAACTGGAGGATTTAATGCTGATGGTGCTACATTATACATCTAGGAAAGAGCTGCACATGCCTGGAGGCGGCAGACTTTGTGCTTTCTGTAATGGATAAAAGAGTAAAAATCACGAAGGAGACGCAAATTAATGGAAAATATTTATTCAGTATTTTACCATCTGAAAAAATAGAACTGATTCATAAATCAGAGAGATCTAATTGTCATTTGGAAATTTGGTTTAAAATAAATTAAAAAGCACAGATGAACAGATTGGTGCGTTATCACACCAAGAAGAACTGCAGCAATCGTTGCCTTTGTTATATTATATTTCCCGGCTCTTTCAAACAAAAACATTAACTTATCTTCAGTTACAAACCTATAATCCTTTGATGCCAGGGAACCACAAGTAATGGTGTTCATACTGACGAAGAAAACGTGTACAGAGCGAGACCTGAACCATCTGAACGGAAATATGCTCATCCTGTGACATCACTGTGAGTCATCCAGTCTTTTCCATCATGCAGCATTCAGGTCCAGCTGGAATTTAGCCAGAAGACTGAGATGGTCAGAGGGGAATATGTGATTGGGCAGGCCACTCATTGACATTATGACATCCTCTGATAGGAGGGACAGAGAACCAATCAGCTTCAGACCCCTACTCGCAACGTCACCACCAGCTGAGGAAATAAAGACAACAACAAATAAGTTATCTACAGTAGCAAATTCATTCAGAGCTGCAACACTGGCCTTTGTGTCATGTTGACTCGTACCGTTTTGATTGCAAGGTAAGCTGCGTCTTGGGGTGTAGAAGATGTAGTCGACAGTAGCTCCCGCTTCAAACTGCAGGGTTGTCACTTCTGGTTTGCCAAAGCCTGGAAGAATGTGTTTGTAGACCGACTCCAGGTCTAAACGATGGCTGATGGTGGGTCTGAACCTGTGACTCAAAGCGTATGACTAAAATCACATCTCAGTTCCACTTAACTGAGCCTTTACTCCCCTTTTATACAGTTTCCTGTTGTTATACACAACACACATTGACTTTATGTGAAAGGTGACATGCAAAATGGCTGAATGATTAAACAGGGATGAAGGCAATATGACAAAGACCCTGTTTACATTTGGTTTTAAACAGCATCTTGGACAATCCGATCATAAGTGGACAGCACAAAATGCAAGTGTATATGCCGCCAAGAAGTCTTTTGATCTGATCACTCAAACCATTTGCATAGGTGGTCTGGGGGTGCATTTTAACACATAACTTGTGTGGTACAAACACTAATGTATCCTGATGAATACCTGACAAGGACATAACAGGAAAATTTGTCATCAGTGTAGGACGTGGTTGTTGTTTTGTTGAGGGTCCATCAATGCTCTACAACAACTACAATGATGAGTTGCCGCAGTGTCACGTGATCGTCTACTGTTTTGCCCTATAGAAGGAGACGTGTTGGATTCTGCTTACAGCGATATACCCAACTGTACCGACATTAACATGACTTGAAAGAGGGTGGACACTGTAACCATTTGCTGCGCTCTTTGACCTTCTAGTGTAAGTGAAGCATGACATCTCAACACAAGCTGGGAATGCATTATAGACACAGGTGTGAGGCGATGTGTCCCGGCTGTCCACTTGTGTGTGGATCACTACAACACACTTTAAAACCAACTGAAACAGGGTCAAACACCAGGTAAACTGACCTTTTATCATAAGGCTGAGTTCCCCTTGAAGCATCTGTACATAAAGAGAGGAGACCCAGATAATCACACTATGACGGTAAGAAAGTCAGGTTATGAAAATGGTGGAACAACTGTAAGTGATGTTGTGGTTTCTGTATTCTACCTGGTGTGTTGTCAGTCACGCCTGGGATCTGCTCTAAGTCCAGAGGACGGACACATGCAGCTGGACAGAAGCGCAGCTGCAGCATGAACTCGTGGCTGTACTGACCTTTACCTACACAAGAATATATAGGATAGGAAGTGATGTGAGTGAAGAAAAGAAACATGGAAAAAATAGCACGCTATAACTTCAAACACTGACCTGATCTCTCACTCTCGGTCTTTGGTATCTCCTTGACAGAAGAAGTGTACTGGCAGCTGTCAGAGATTCCCAGATTGCTGGGCCACAGGGGAGCAAACAGTCTGTGACTGTAGACTTTGTGTGACAGGTCCTCTTGACCGGATATCTGTTGGACAGGGTGAATAAATACATAATTACAGAGGTAATTCCTGCAAGCATCATGGCAGAAAACCTCAAGAGCCTGATAGAACTGTTGGAAACAAGTCCACAGGCAGTCATGTGGGAGAGGGCTCAACAGTAAGGACTGCCCAGGGGAAGCAAGAACAAGCAGCTCACTTGGTAACAAAGAAATAATACATTGTTTTTTTCCAAAGCTGCTGATGAAAGTAGCTCAGGAGTGAGCCATCTCGCTTGCTTCTCACCCCTGTTGAGAGCCGCACATGCTCTTGTGAGGAAATGGTGGCAAATAGAGATAAAGTTTATGAGCTGAAGCACAAATGAGGATTTTAATTATCCTGGAAACAGGAGTTTAGTTGCAGGGCGTTAAAGGATGTGGGTGAAACTCAAACTCTGCACTGCACAATTTGAGTACACATTAACGTTGAAACCTGGAGAAGCTAGATACTTTGCAGGCATTTACACTCAGTTATTCTTTGCAGTGTTTTAGCCTCACCATCCATGCTGGTAGACCCTGGAATTCGAGCTCGCCGGTGGTGATCAGCTGGTACAGAGGCATGTGGGGGACAGAGTTAAAGTCCCCACACATAATAAGGTTACAGTGTTCACCTTTGGCCTTACAGGTCTTAACCACGCTGTCCATCTCTGCAAGCATTATAGCTAGCTGAGCCAGCTTCACATCCCCCCTCCTTGGGTTGAAGAGCAGGTGAGTGTTGGCCACGCAGAGGGGTGGGCCCTTCGCCTTGATCTCCAAACCCTGGATGACCACTGGCTGGAGCAACAAGACAAGGCCCACATTGTGGCGGTCCAGCAGCTGTGTCTCAGGCCTGAAGAACTCCAGCATGGTGACTGACAGCTCAGAGAAGCGACTGCTACGGTAGCACGTGGCGCAGCCGTCTGTCTTGGTCCCTGTACGCTGCTTGTACACACAGGTGTAGCCTGGAGCGCCAACATGAGGAGACAACATACAGTATGTCATGTCTTTGTCATAACATCATCCATATTTATTTTCTCAGATGACTTACCCATCTGAGACAGGACTGGATACAGCTGTTCGTGGTAGTGGTTCTCCTGAACTTCTTGGAGACACAGAATCTACACACATGGACACGCACGACTCATTAGTGGACACCTCAAGACTGCATTTAAAATGTGTCTAGTTTCTAGTCTATTTTAAATCAGATGGCACTTGACTTACATCTGGTTCCCATTTCTGTATTTCCTGTAGTAGCAGGCTGCAGCGGTAGCTCCAGTCCAGCACCTCTGGGGGGCAGTGTGTGTACAGCTCCCAGTTCACCTCTAGTAGGTCCTGAGCAAGGATGTTGTAGGACATAACAGTGAAGTCCATCGAGGCCTTTGTGAACGGCTCTGCTGCAGTGGCACTCTCATCCATCTCCTCCCACACCCTCCACATTACTGGGTGGAAAACAAACATACGAGTCTGTGCAAAGTAACAGCTGGATATTAAACTACTGGTGAGTTTAGACAAAGTTGACCGCAGTGGAAATATACAAATGGGAGAGCCAAAAATTAAACTGCTCCAGCAAAGGGAGGTGTCACATTCTCACCTTCAAATGGCACCATCGGTTCTACTGCAGGGTAATAGCTCACGGATGGAAATTGCCACAGTGGGCACTGCATCTCTTCTGCCAGGCCAGGTCCTGCAGGAAAGTGCCAGCCAGTCTGTGTGTCATGCTGCCCGCTGAGATTAAGGTGGGATTGAGTGTTGGAAAGAAGGGAGGAAAACACCAGCTCAGAACTGCTCTCCCCACTTTGCAGTTCATCAGCAGCTGGAGCCACATATTCATCCCAGCACTCAGTTTCTTGAGCCGGAGTCACTGACTCCTCAAAGCTTTGGATCTGTGTTTGTTCTTGTGCTGTATGGGGAGTTTCTTGTATGCTTGGCTCAGCCAGAGTTGCTGGCTCTTCCAGGCTTGGTATCTTTAATATTTCCTGCACTGGGCAGGTGGTTTCTTGATTGTTGTCCTCCGTTTGTAGGCACTCTAACTGTGCCCCAAGAGCTGCCTCTGGACTAATGTCCTCGGCAGGAGAAATACCTCCATCTTCTGTGTTTTCATTCACATGCAACACATCTTGGTGAGCAGTTATTTCCCCGTTGTCTTGCTCGGGAGCTTCCACTTTGTCTTGTTGCCGTCCATTTATTATCTCTGCTTCTTTCTCCTTCACTGCAGACTGCACCTCACTCATCTTTGAAGCTGCCTCACTGTTTGCTTCTTCACACAGGACAGCCATCAGCTGTTCTTTGTCTGTATCAGGGCTTGTATTGTCTTCCTTTTCTTGGCTTGGTTCTTTCATCCTTTCTTTCGTTTCTCCCTTCGTCCCACTGCCTGGGCTGAGCCACTGGTCCAGCATGGTATTCTGAGACTGGATGAAGCTTCTGGTTGTGACAGCACTACCATCCCACACTGCCTTGCCATTAACTTCTGCAGGAGGGAGACCCTTCTTCAAGGCCTCTGTAAGACAAGATCAGCGTTAGAAAACACTTATACATTCATACCAAGATGAAACACGCTGTGCTCTTAAGCTTGTATCATTAAAAAAAAATACTTGTTGTGTCATCTTGAATTACTGAAGAAAACTTGCTCTTGCATGCCTCCACATAAAACAGCGAGTATGATTAATTTACTGATTGGGGTCCAAGTTACATAACAGCAAAAATATATACACAACTCATGCAGTATAATCCAAGACTCATTTATCCAGTTGTTTGCTCAGAACTTCACAAACACATGCATTTTTGCTAAAACCTTACTATTTAAAACTGAACTGAAAGTGAAACTTAGCTACATTCTCCAAAGCCAGACTCCAATACTACATTTTTTTTAGTGAACATGCATGTTTTTGGGAAGCACTGAGCATTACGACTGGATAAATGAGACTTGCATTATACTGCACGTGTTGTTTGAGAGTATGTTAAATTGATGTTTTGATATAGTTTTGCTGTTGTTTTTTTGTTGATCCCCAATCCATAAATTAATGTTTGCTGTACTCCGTGGAGGCATGCCAGAAAGTTTTTTTTTTTTTTAATGAATTCATGATAACACAGCATCACCAATTGATTCACAAATGGTCATTTTGGGGGTATTCCTTAAATTTTTGCCCAAATAATGACAGACACTGTTAAATGTGACATATAAATCTGTCTTTTTTTTTATTTTTATTTTTTTTAACTCTTAACATATAATGTGAGCAGACCCACAATGTGAACAGAATCACACACATGTATCTGAAGCATAAAAACAGTACCAAACAGAAAAAGCACACAAAAGCAAAACAAAGTAAAGTAAAAAAAAATAGACCCGAGTGACTTGTGACATAAGGTTCATTTAGAGATTTTAAAGATAGTGCATATATTTATCATTTTGATAGCCTTTTAGTTTTGTCAGAAAGAAATCACTGACAATTATTGTGCCATTTCCTTCATAAATACGAAGAACATATTTGTTTTGTTTGTAAGGTTTCATTTGCGAATGTGAGATTTGGCAAGAAGTAAAAATAGATTAATAAGGAAAAGGGCATTAATATCTTTGCAACAGTAATCATAGCACCCAATCATATTTCTACAGTGAAAATTAAAATCTGAGAAGATTTTGTTAACTAGTTAAGTCTTTCCAAAGCACATATATAAAATTAGGAGACCAAAATAAGCAGGAGCAAGTTTTCAGGATGCAACTAACAAAAAGCATCACTCTTAAACCTTTTTAAAGAAGGATAAATTTAAATGACACTTATTTTACCTTATTGGGGAACTTTCTTCCAGTTAATATCACTAATAAAATTACTCCAATAAATGTTGCTGCAGGAACAGAGACCATGTTGTCCTGAAACAAAGCTCTTGTTCATGCTTCTATTACAGGAAAAACAAACTTTAATGGAGATTGCGTTGGATCAGGAAGTGACACTGTCAAAGGCAGTGTGGTTGACACTCCTAAATAACGTGCATACCAGATGGGTTAGTGTCAAAACTACAGAAAACTGTTTTAGTGTTGATAAATCTGTCTCCCTGAACATAAACTGCACAGCAAAACAGACACACGTGGCGACGCTGTGACGTCATTGGGGTCGTCTCGAAAGTGCAAGCTAAAAAAAAAAAAAAAAAAAACAAACAGGTGCAAGCTAACACACGCTTCCACGAGCTAAAGTTAAAGTTAGCTGCATAGCAAGTACAAAATGTGCCATAAGTTAGCGTTAGTTAGCTCACACTGGGGAACCACAAAAAGCGCCACACCGAGTTTTAGTTAAAAACACCATCTTGACGCTCGCGCCAACAAATGTCGAGACAAAGTGCTCCGTCAGCAACGACCTACATTTACCATTAGCAACCGTTAGCTTCCGACAGCTACTCGACTGATATACACAGAGACAGTGAATCTTTACACACAGACACACAGACACTTTAAAACCGTGAAGACAGATTTACCTGAGGGTCGACAGGAAAGGAACCGTGACAGTGGGTAGAGCGCATAATATAACAGGCTGCCAATCATGTTTCTGTGCTGGGATCAGCGCATGCGCAGTGTGGAGTCGTTGGTAGTGCAAAAGGTTAGGGGCCGCAAGTAAATGTCAGAGGTGTGGTTTACTCGTGGATGTGTTTGTCTTGTTTCCTTTCTTTTTAAAATTGTCTTAACATCAGGAAAATACATATACAGCATTCTATAAAAGCAGATAATATTAAAATGTACAACATTCTATAAAATGCCATCTGTGTCATTGCTGCCTTCAGGGACAGTTCTTTACATATGAGCGGAGGGGGTGGTTTTGTTGTTGGTGGTGTTTTTTTTTTTTGTTTTTTTTTTTTTACCTTCCCCTAAGCTACAGATATTTTTCCTTCAGCCTCTGGGAGTGACAGAGGGAAATACACAGCCTTCCCTCCACCATACATCAGTTATTAGATTTTAAAAACTTAATCTCTGGTGTTTGAAAGTTACAATTTGAAGACGAAATCCTGGCTTAAAAGTTTTTTTTTTAGTGAGATGTAGAATAAAGTCATTTTCATGAAATATTACTTTGTTAAGCTTATTGTTGTTTTTTTTTTCATTTTTTTGAGTGTTTGTCACACACGATGTGCCCAAGGACCATCAGAATTTAAAAATCCAGCGATACTTTCTGTTTTTACAATTTATGGCTATGATAACTCTACAAAAAATGTGTGATTTTGACAATATTTAAGGAACACAGGCATGTTTTCTTTAAAAATCTTCTGTAAAAAAAAAATTACAATATACATTCATTCATTTTCTGCAACCGCTTTTCCTGTTAGGGGTCATGGGGCGCTGGAGCCTATCCCAGCTGACATTGAGCAAGAGGCAGGGTACACCCTGGACAGGTCACCAGACTATCACAGGGCTAACAAGAGACAGACAACACACACACATTCACACCTACGGTCAATTTAGAGTCACAAATTAACCTGCATGTCTTTGGACTGTGGGAGGAAGCTGGAGCACCCGGAGAAAACCCACGCTGACCCAGGGAGAACATGCAAACTCCGTACAGAAGGGCTCCCCCACCCTGGGTTCTAACCCCCCCACCCTGGGGTTGAAACCAGGAACCCTCTTTCTTGCTGTGGGGCAACAGTCCTGACCAATGCACCATAAACAAAATACACCAATTTAAATTTGTATGCCCCTGCTAAGCCAAATTAAAAAACACAAGTCTCTCCCCAGTGTTTCAAAAATTATTTGACCTGTCTCCCCCTTTTGCACCACCTTTCCCCCATCAACGAACAGTCCCTTGCATGGTTACTACAAAACAGAGCATTATAACCACACTGAGGCATAAATTGTTGATGTCACCACACATGAAATGTTACCCGAGGGGTAGAATTACCTGCTAAACAGCACAGGCCTATTTCATTTCACAGTGGTTGCTAGCCCATCAGAACACACAGGAATAAATGAACAAATAACCTAAAAACTGAAGCTATTCCCTTTGTTTCTGGGAAACTGTTTCAAACCAAGCATAGGCTCTGGCGGCATACAGCAATGTCGACATTGTCTTTTGAGTCTCTCTGCTTAAAAGATGATGACTGTCCATCCCCGACTCAACCCCACGGCATGGAGGATGAGTTTGACACAGACTTGGAGTCAGATGGTAAGTACAGAAAATTCATTCTTGGAGTTTTTGGATAAATTGTTTTGGAAGCCTTTTTGTTTCTCTTGCTGTGTAACTGTAAATTTGTACTGTTAATTCATAACCTTGTGGTAAAAAGCACTCCAAAGACAAGGCAAATAAATGGCTTGTTTTGACAAAGTGCTGCAGTGACATGCATTCACTGCTGTATGTATAGACAAGGGCCCATACAGTGCACAGAGTTAACATTGCAGAGATGTTTCCTCTGTGGCACTCATATAATGTGGGCTTATTCATTTGTAGAAACAGAGGAGGGCAACAAGGAGACGTCTATATCTGAGGTGTACCTCCAGGCCTGCAGAGTAGTGGGTGTGGTGCCAGTCTCCTACTTTATACGAAACCTTGACTCTACAACCATGACCCTCAGCCACCACGGGCTGGGACCTTTGGGGTGCAAGGCACTTGCTATTGCTTTAGTGGTAAGTTTAAAACAAATGTTACAGAGTACGGCTTTTTTTAAATTAGAAAATTTCTTATAAGCTCCTTGTGTTTAGGCTGACATGCATATTGACACTCTGGAACTGGCAGACAATCACATACAAGCTGAGGGAGCCAAATACCTTGTGGAGATGCTGAGGGCGAACTTCACCCTGCAGCACCTGGTATGTTGGACTGCAAAGCTACCACTAGAGGTCACAAGTGCTTTTAACTTGACTTTTACATTGGTGTGTTCTGCTTTCAGGATTTGTCCAACAACTGTCTGCAGTCTGCAGGAGCTGAGCATGTGGCTAAAGTGTTGCTGGACAACATTTCAATAAAATCTATGAAACTTTCAGGTAATTTCAGGTTAATTAACAGCTTTCAACTGAACTGAAGGGTGACGTACTGAGACCACGCTAATGGAAAGATAAAGAGTGAACAATATCCTACAAGACCAGTAAATTTGATCAGTTTAGATCATTATTTATATTCATTAGTATACTTATTTTGTATATTTAAACACTAAATAGGCCTATTTTGTCCCAACAGGAAATGGATTTACTGATGATGACGCTAAATATTTTGCAGATGCCTTGACAGTAAGTGATTATTTATCAGTTATCCAAACACTGACTTTTAAGGCTTTTGTGACAGATGACACTTAAGGTTGTAGGTAAGGCATTTCCTTAGCACATTATGATGCTCATATTTTCATGTAGATCAATTCCAGAATAAAGGAACTCGACCTGAGCCACAATGAGTTTAGGGGAAAAGGAGGAGAACATTTGGGACAGCTGTTGGGTACGGTAAAATTCACCAATATTAATGTCTTTGTTGATGTGACCGAATGCATTGCTTTACTTTACATGGGCGGGTTATGAGACAATCGGCCCCTGGGCACATATATGCAAAAGGCCCCACCACCTCTCCTTTTATTTACAGGAGCAAGACATACAGACTTTGTGGTGGTTTTGCATCTCTTTGTGGTTTTGTGTCTCCTTGTGGTTGATTTCTGTCTTTTTGTTATTGTCTCAGTAAGGTAATTTTATGTCTTAATGAGGTAATTTTCTGTGTCTTTGTAGTCATTTTGTGTCTCCTGGTGGTTGTTTTGCCCATTTTTGTAGTTCCTTTGCATCTCTTCTTTTTGTGTCTTTTTGTGGTCATTTTAAGTTTCCTCCTGGTCCATATGTGTTAATTGGAGTGACATTTTGCATGTGAAGGGCCCCTTGGTCTTTACCCTGTAGGCCCGCTCAGTAATCCATCCATTTATTAATGTCATGCCAAACAAGAGAAATTACCACAAAAGACTTCTCTCAGATTTTACTTTCTATTTCTGCAGCAAACAACGAGGGTCTTGAGGTGCTCGATCTCAGCTGGAACCATCTCAGAATGAAAGGGGCTGTGGCTTTCTGTGCTGGACTCAAGGTATGGCTGTGTAAGAAATCAGTTTGATCACTGATTTGATATACATCTGACTGCACTCTCCATATTTAGGTGAATATGATGTTAAAACACCTCGACTTATCATGGAACGGTTTTGGGAATGAGGGCGCCCTGGCGATGGGAGAGGCCCTAAAATTCAACAACACACTGGTGCACCTCAACCTGAACAACAACCGCCTCACCAACGAGGGTGTCGGCATGCTGTGCAGGGGCCTCGAGTTTAATGACACACTCCGAGTCCTTCTGGTGGGTGGGTGAGACAGTGTTTAACATGCATCATCATTATTCAGATACACTGTAAGGGGATGATTTGTTCTTACATCCTTGTAGCTGGCCTACAACTCTTTAACAGTAGAGGGAGCACTGGCCCTAGTTCATGTGGTGAAGAACACACCTAGAACTGCCTTGGAGGAGATCAACATATGTGTGAGTAACTGTCTCACCACTGTCTGTCTTTCTGTTTTGTCACTTTATTTGATCACATTTAAACAAATTAAACCTTTCATTATTACCCGAGCACAATGAACACCCTGCATCCTGTGTATACCATCCTGTTTTGCTTTTTTACTGAGCAGAACGTGCTGGTAAATGAGACCTTTGTGCATTTGTTGGAGGTGACATGTCAGGAGCATCCCGGTCTGGATGTACAGTACGGAGGAGTCGGTGGCTTCATTGCTAAAAAGCCACCAAAACATGTTGATCCAATGAAAGTCATCCAGGTCTGTTCTGGTCACATAATGAGAATAAGTATAAATAATAAATACTATAGCCTACTCTCATATTATTTTAGTAAAGCTGTCAAATGATGACAACTCAGTTTGGTTTTGCATGTGTTTCATAAATAACAAAATGTCTTCTCCAATGTTTTTGAAGGATTATTTGGATCAGCGCAAGCTACGCCTGTGGGATTTCTTTCGGAACATCGACAAAGATGGCACCATGCGAGTCCCTGTTGCTGACTTCAGGAAGGCTGTGCAGGTGTCCAGAAAAAAAAAAAAATTGATAAACTGAGCTGAGCAGAGTTAGTGACATTTGCAGGACAGGATACCATGAAATATTCCTCTGAAATCATGTGTGACGAGCTCTCTTCCAGTCCTCTTCACAAATCTGATGCCGATCAGTGACCAGCACACAGTGACAGCTCACACTGAATCAATACTGTGAGGCAGGGATACTGAAATTGCTTTGCTCAGGGGCCACTTTTGTAAAATGACAGGAGGCCAGGGGCCAGGTAATAACCATTAATTAAATTACCTTTAAATTATTTATCAGATAAAAGACCCATAACTCATCTGTCTTTGAAACTCTTCAATTTAAATGAACTGACTATAAAATTCACTTATTAACTAAATTAGGCAACAGGATTGACACTAGGCCTATATGACAAATAAATCAGATATTTTACAGCCAGTTGCAGCAGCCAAACACAGGTCAGGTGTATGCAGGGACATTTCTAGGATTTTAGGACATTCTGAGCTTAGCCCTGACTTCTGTCCAGGGGTCCAGGATTCCTTCTCTGGCACTTTTTTCATTAAAAAAAACTCTATTTTTATGATTTTTTTATGAGCTCTGATACCTCATTAACAAAGTACAAAAAAATCCCAGTATCAATCAGTTTAAATGGTAGAAAATGGTCGGCGGGTACCCTATCGCCAGCCAAATTTGGTCTGTCAGTTCATTTTTATTTATATAGACCAATATCACAAATCACAATTTGCCTCAAAGGGCTTTACAACATAGGACACCCTCTGTCCTTGGATCCTTACAGAGGATAAGGAAAAACTCCCCCCAACAAAGGTTGCATGAGGAACAACTGAGAAGGGATCCCTCTCCCAGGATGGACAGATGCAATAAATGTCATGTGTACAGAACAGATCAACTTAATGAAATACAGTACAGGCAATCCATGTGACAAAATGATGCAGAAAAAAGCAACCATGTTTCTGACTCTGACTTTTCCTTCTGTTCTATGAAACCATGACAGCAATCAAGTATTCCTTTGGATCGATACCAGATTGAGGAGCTGATTCAGAGACTTGATCGTGACAGGACAGGAATGGTGGACTACAGGTGAGCATGTCTCCTGATGTTTGATCCCACTCACAGGTGGGCCTCCTAAATTGTTTCACACAGTAGTCCTGTGATATGTTAAAGTTTATTGTTGCTAAACTATGAGTAGTGACGTTAATGTCAGTTTGTACAGTTTCATCATTGTTTGAATGATGGTGCAGTTCAACACAGTGTTTTCTGGTTGTGAGCTGGGAATTCATCCAGATCTCCACCTTGAATGAGGTCGTAAAAGAGTGATGCAAGTGTATTATTTGATGTGACTGTGCAGGGGACTGGCAGATACAAGGAAACAGATGATGAGGGATCATCGCCGCCAGCTGAGGAAGGTTGAGTCCCGTCAGAAGAAAGAGAAGCAGAAGAGTGATCGTATCCTCAAGACCTTCCAGAGTGCTGTTGAGGCGGTAACACCACGCAGCTCCATGGTCATATCTCCAGGAGGTGCCAAAGAAGATTCAAGTGGTCCTCAGCACTTCTCTGCCACCCCTCTAAGTTCTTGGCACCACATCATCATGTCCAACAGCAGTCGCTATTCCGTCACCAATATGAGCAATGAGCATGTCCACCTGCCCATGTTAGGCGGCACCACGCCTTACCGTCCCACCAGCTCCCCAGCTATGCGCTCGTATTCCCAGCCAAACCTGCTGGATGACTCCCCTCGCTCTTCTCCAGGCAAGTCCATCTCTGCTCAGGGCGTACGCTCCGATCCAGAGATGAGCAACAGCAAGCTTAGCCCCACTGCTAACCACCTGACCAGGTCCAGGCCTGCTCTTAATGCCAAGCAGCCGGTGGTTAAAGCCAAAACCAAGAAAGTGAAGAAAAAGAAAACCATGAAACGTTTGAATAAAGACTCAAAAAATTGAACCATCATGTGACTGTATTGTTCTATCAAACATTACAATTCTGATTCCCCGACATTGTTGGCTCCTTTGTTACAGCTACAACTATCAAATAAAGATTTATTCATCTTGTTTCTAGTCTCTAAAAATGACAAATGTGCCCAGTATATTCAGCGCTCAGACCATCTGGGGAAACAAACACTTCATAACACTTGGGAACTGTGTCAGATGGTACACCTACGCATCTGCGATTCTTTGAATTCTGATGCACACCCAAACATTGGATCATTTCAGACCAACATCAGTGTATTTAATTTCTGTTTGCTGAAGATAACATTAGGTGTTACATCTTGGCATGCGCCTTGGCTAATGGCGCTGTGAACTAGGACAGGTGCAGCAACCTGCAAGATGTTGAGACAGGCTATATAAGCCCCGAGGATCCAGCTATCTCAATCATAACAACTCTGACTGCACCAAGAATGATCGGCTCACTGTATTTCTTAGCTCTGCTGAGCTCCACGTTGGCCTGGGGGGTATGTATGGCATTACTTTGACCAACTGATTCTATTTTACTCTTTGACGCTTTCACATTCGAGGTAAGCTAATCTACTATGTTCATGTGTTTCAGCGTGTAGGCCTGTGGAGCGAAGGGAATGCGAGGAATGGGACAGGAGGTGAAAGCGGGGACAGGTGCACTTGTGATGCCTTCTTGCCCAGTACTACCTTTCCTGTTAGAGACCTGGTGGTTGTGGAGCAGACGGCAGGGGAGATCACACACAAACTGGAGCTGGAGATGGGCAAGGTGCTCAGGCATATTTGAGGCACGTGCAAAAGATGATAACATATTTGAGACAGGCAAGAATGTGTATAATCCTCTTTGTAATGACTTTATTTCAGCTGGAGGACTACGAGACCAAACTGACAGCATACTCAGAAAAGATAATAAGGCTGACGGCAGAAATAGAAATAATGGAGAAGAAACCCGATGCCTACAACGATGCCGACATGGATGAGATGAAGGTGAAGATCAAACAAGTGGAGGCTCTGATCAAAGAGCTGCAGCTCTCCATCAAAGGCTCCACCACTGTCTTCGAGTCTTTGCGCGTAGAGGTAAGTCCTGATGATGGCGGTCACAGCATTAACAAGACATAATGTGAATCCACTGGCAAACCATGTGTTTATTCACAGATCACAGTCATGGTGGAGACCCTGAACAAGCTGGAGAAGGTCTATGACAAGAATCTGGTTCTGGCGACACGTCGGGAGTACATCAAGGTGCAGCTGCAGCTAGAGGAGTGCGAGAGACGCCACCAGGAGCTTTTCAACCCCAACATTGGTAAGCTCATTCACACTGATATGCAGAGCTGGCTGACTCATTAAGAGATACAAGCAGCTGCTAAGGGCCCAGGCTCTAGATGATAGATGATAATGATGATAATGAAATGAAAATTTAACTTTCTAAACATAAACTGACAACATTTCATATCATTTTTGCCAATAAATGGTGATAAAACAAAAAGCTCAGAGACAGGAGCAAGGGACAATTTAGGTAGGTAGGTTAAGTGAGTATTTCTAAGTCTAATTGAAAAATTTGAGGTAAAAAAACATATTCACAGGGTAAATAGGTAATGCCAATACCATATTTACTGTAGTCTATTCAAAGAAAGTGTTGCTGCTAATAAATCTCACTTCAGTCTTTACATGCTTGTTTGTATTATGTGTGCTTGAACTAATATTTCCAATGCACAAGTTCTAGTTTAGTTCTATGTGAACACAATACAATGAAAGGACCCCCCAGACCAAATCCGTCTTAGGGCCAGCCCTGCTGATATCCCCATCTAATCTAAACCCTCCTTGGACTCTAATTTCTCCTTTCTCTTTGCAGGTTCTTGTGCACACACAGGCATCATCAAGGTCAGCAAGCCCATTGTGAGCCAGCTGAACGCCCATCTCAACGCTGAATACAAATATGGAGCCTGGGGAAAAGATTCGAAGCCTGTCCCTGACAGAGAGTCCATGTACTGGTACTCCGGGTACACCAGTGGCTCCATTGTTGACGTTAAGTTCTACACTAACTATAAGAACCTCATTTTGAGAAACCACTTCCAGCATCACAACTTACACAGCAGCTGGTATGGCACAGGGAACAATTTTGTAATCCGCGATAACACACTGTATTATCAGATCAACAGCCCGTTCGGGTTGGCCAAACTGAATTTCACCACCATGAAATATGAGTCCAGGGTGATTCCTAGGGCTAGCACCAGGTTCTCTTACACCAACTCCCCCAATCAGAACTTTGACTTTGCTGCTGATGAGAGCGGCCTGTGGGTGACCTACGCCACAGAGGAGTCCAGTGGCCGGATGGTAATTGCTAAAATAAACGAGCCATCTTTTGGGGTTGAGGAGGAATGGCAGACTAGTGTCTATAAGCCAGGGGTGAGCAATGCCTTCATGGTGTGTGGCGTTCTGTATGCAGTCAGAACAATTGATATCCAAACTGAAGAGATCTTTTACAAGTATGACACCAACACCAAAAAAGAGAGCTACATCAACATTCCCTTTGAGAGGTTCCAGGATAAGTTTTCCAACCTGGACTACAATCCCACTGACCAGAAGCTCTACATGTACAATGATGGCTACTATGTTAACTACCATCTGTGGTTCAACCACACAGTTACAGCCACGGTGGAACCACCATTTCTCCTTTCCTAAAATGTCATCTGTGATTTAATGAAGTATCACACACATTTATGAATGAAACAATGATTGTATCTCTCTTTTTCCCTTGTAGTTCATGTAGCGCATCCTTATTCTTGATCGCCAATAAATTATCTCAAGCATCGAAAAAGTGTCATGTGTGTCCTTGTGCAAGTGTTCATGAAGAGTGCATTATTTTCTAACGATTATTAATTCACCTCACTCCCTTCACACACTCATTCTAGTGCCTCACACACATTCAAATTGAAGTATTGTTTATGGTGGTAGGATCATGCTACTACTCATGACTCAGTTGGCATTTGTACATATCTGACATTTTGAAATGCAGAACTGGATTCTGATCTATATTTAAAAAAATGTTTAAAGACTTGATCTTGATCTTACATTATAAGTAACTTCCATAAACATCCACACAAAAGGAGGAATTCATTCCCACAATTAGATAAGCATTTTGAAACATGTGCAACACTTGATTTTGAAATGCTGGATTGCAGGATCAATAAATCAATTTACTATATTGATTTTTGCATTCTTCATTTTTCTGATGTGCCTACAAACTACCCATTTTCAGCCTGCAGCCATAGTCCAAAGTGGCTAGATTGCTGTTGCAACAGTTTTGGACTAGGCCTTGTTCACAAGACATCTTTACATGTCAAAATAGTAAAAGCACTGATGAAAATAATGACATTATTACAGGCTGAATTATTCATCTGCTTCACTTTGAGGGACCTGATATTGTACATGCTGGCTCACTGTCACATTGTAATGATTTACTGGGACACTTGAATATAACAGAGCCATTGTTAATGTTGTTACTGAGACCTGTGCATTTCCTACAATGACAAGTCAAAATGTCTGCTGTGAAAATACTTGTTTTAGACAGGTAAAAGACTACCTACAAGGTAGATAAGAAAAAGAAAATAATAAAACCCAACCTACTATGATACTCACCTAATGCTTATGTTTCTTTGGCACTTCACTACCTGTATCTTTATAGGACACATTTTCTAAAATCAGTGTGACATGACAATCCAATAGGAGAGAGAGAAAAGAGCAGTGAACTATCAGCAACAATATATTAACGGATATTGTGAATTTAGGTGATGTGCTGTGCATTGATTTACTTAACTTTCTAAAGGATTAGAAGACTTACTTCCATTGTAGTCCGGAATTAACTTTGCGCAAGTGATACTAATGACATTAATCATGGCTCTGTTACATGTAAGTGTCCCCATAAGATATTCCAGTGAGCCAGCATGCACAACAACAGGGACACGCACACCTAAATGTAATTCACTTATAATCAATAATTACGCCTTTGATTTTCCTACTAACATGTCAAAATGCCTGCTGTGAAAAAGGCATGTGAGGTTCATAAAATATTTAGTGACCTCTCATGTCCTGTACGGACGAATCTGCAGTCATCGTGTGGCTGAACTCATTTTTTATGTTTTTCCCCATTAATTTTTCACGTGTGTGTGTAGACAACCCATACGCCGGAGAAAATGCGGGCACTGTACAGTTCAACAAACCACGCATACATTTGTACATTACTATGTAGTGGATACACTGAAACTGTGACTTACATGTGATTAAGTGTAGGCGCTAAAAACACTTGACTTTGATTAGGAAAATATTGTGTTTTGACTTGAAATGCCCAGTTTTGGGGGCACATTACTGCCTGGAAATGTAGCAATATTTCAGCAAAACTGTCTTAGTCAAAAACAAAGAAGCTTTTTGTTACTATCCCAGCAGGGAATACAGAGATGCCTTGGTCAAATCTAGTTGAAAACAGTAACGGGTCGCTAAAAAACACCCACATTTGGTGCCTAAAAAGGTGCTGGAAAAACAGCGTTAGATTTACTATAACACAGTTTTCTGCAGCTAGGCAGGTGTCTCACCTAGGTGACACACCATCCACCATCCCTTCCACCTCCTGATGACACAGCCAGCTCATAAACAACAACAACTCTAATAATAGTAGTAGTAATAATAATAATGATAATAATAATGCATTCTATTTATGGGCACCTTTCCAAGCACACAAAGACACCTTACAAGACACAGTAAAAAAAAATCCAAATCCAAATCATAATTATAAATATTAGGTATAAAAACATCATAATAAAATCATCATCATCAATATGTGTCACCATTAAATCATACTGAATATGCCAGCTTGAAAAGGTGTCTTTTCAAGTGGGATTTGAAAGTAGAAAGGGAGTCAGTATTGCGAATGTCATTGGGGGAGAGAGTTCCAGAGGCGGGGGCAGAATGGCTGAAGGCTCTAGAAAACATGGTAGTCAAACAGGCAGATGGTGATGTGAGTTGGATTGCAGAAGAGGATCTAAGAGTACTTGTGTAGATGTCAAGGAGTTCAGACAGGTAGAAAGGGGTTTGATCATGAAGGGCCTTTAAGGTGAGAGGCAGAATCTTGAAGTCGATACGATATTTCACAGGAAGCCAGAGAAATATCATAAATATTATTTTACTTTAGAAATGTTGATATGATATGTGTGAAATGCGCAGATGTTACATATTTGTGGTTTGCAGTGATGTACCATGCTAACATTTCCCTCTGGCAGCTGGACTGATGTAGAGGCAGATTTACTGTCCCATGCAGGTATGTGCAATATTTGGAGAAGGACTCATTTTTGCTTAAAGCAAACACTACATTTTCCACTACTTTCTGTTTAGATGGTAACTACACTCCTGCTGATTTGAATGCAAACCTTTAAAATATTTTGATTCCGGATTAAAATACATAATGTTTTCTTTTCATTACAGACGCTCACTTTTAGACTTTTATGTTTATCATGGCCATAACTTCAAACTTCCCTCTGTACAACTGAATTGTTTTTTCAAAGTTGCCACTCAAGTGAAAAAAACTTGCTTGTGCATAGTGATTTCCTGGGGTGTGAGTCAGGATTTCACAAGTTGTTCCCTTGTGGCACAGTATCTCCGACTCATGAACCGCACTGTTCAAAGGCACCACCCAAGTCACATGCATTAGATTACACAATTAACCATGCGGATGAGGAAACAATACAAGGAGGATATATGACTCTTTCATTCATGATACAGTGAGACTTGACCACTACAGATGATGGTAGCAAGATAAATCATTGATAAAAGTGGTCTAGTTGGATTAGATCAAGCCTGAGACATTGTCCACCTGTGGATATGATGACCTCTTTTAACACTTAGCTAACAGGCCATAAATATTACAAGATGACGCCACAATTTACTACATATGGCACTTTTCTCATTCGCATCCCAAGTTCAGAGCAAAAGTTATTGTGAGCAAACAAGGATGAAGCCATAACTCATGCGGTACTTGAGAATAAACATCTGTTCTTGCGTTGAAGTTCCAGACAGCTCAGATAACAACTATGGCAGAAGAGAAGGTGTTTGAGATGACGTGATAAGAGCTGTCTTTAAAAACCCAACGATGAGGCCACCAAGGAGACATTTGAGAGGTAAACTGAGACAAGATGATTCCAGTTGTGCTGCCGCTGCTGCTGCTCAGTCCTGCTTTGGCATGGATTGTAAGTGACGCTTATTTTCTGTTGAAACATAGAGGTGCATCTGTCATTCATCATAATCAGTCTTAATGGTTTTTTGTCTTTTCAGCCATTAAATGAATGGGAGTCTGGCAATGTGACTGTGTCAGTGGGTGAGGCAGGTCAGTGTGTTTGTCATGTGTATGTGCCTGAAACCACCTTCCCTGCCGACCGGGTTCAGCACATGCAGCAGGTCAGCAAGGATCTGATCCTGGAGGTGGATATTCAAGTGAAAAAGGTGCAGTAAGACTGAAGGGTTCCACAGCGTTTACTCATTTAAACATTTTGCTGAGACATCACCATATTGATTTGTGTTTATTCACTCCCTCAGATGGTGAGCTACAAGGGCAACTTGGAGGTCTACTTGAAGGAGCTGATGGATCTGACTGTGAGAGTGGCCATGTTGGAGAGCAGTCCCGACAAATACATCAAACTGGACTTTGAGATACTCAGGGTTGAGCTCCGAGAGTTCGAGGCTCTGGTGTCTCAGCTCAAAGACTCCCTCAACTCCACCTCGCCCATGTTTGACAGCCTGCATACTGAGGTAACAGAACCATTTTCAACCTACTTGCAAATAACGCAGCTTTCTTCTTTATTGGAATATTGCATTTGATTCATGTGTTTATTCCCAGATCCGCAACATGACCCTCATTGTGAACCAACTGGAGACGTTCGACAAGAGCAACCTGGAGGTGATCCGCATTGAGTTTGCTAAGCTGCAGAAGAAGCTGCAGGAGTGCCAGAAGGANAACTGGAGACGTTCGACAAGAGCAACCTGGAGGTGATCCGCATTGAGTTTGCTAAGCTGCAGAAGAAGCTGCAGGAGTGCCAGAAGGAGCAGGAGTTCATCAAGCCAGATATTGGTGAGACAGCTAGTCAGATGATTGTGGAGAACAGTTTAAAAATCAGATATTCTCACCAAATATTAACATTTTTCTTGTCTTCCCAGGCAACTGCAATCACACAGGAATCATGGCGGTCAGCAAGCCTACCGTCATCCAACTGAATGCTCATCTGAGTGCAGGTTACCAGTATGGGGGCTGGGGAAAAGACTCCAAACCTGTTAGAGGCTATGAATCAATGTACTTCTACGGTGCATACACCAGTCCCTATGTGTATGACTTCTATTTGTACTCCGACTATGAAAAGCTGATTCTGAGGTCCGCATTCAAACACCATGACTTACCAAGCGGGTGGGAGGGTACTGGTAACAACTACATTGTTCACAGTAACACCATATATTACCAGCACAACACACCTTTCAGTATGAGCAAACTGAATCTGACCAGTTCCAAATATGAGTACAGAGTAATCGCAGATGCCAGTCAAAGGTTCTCGTACAGTTACTCAGACCATCAGAACATTGACTTTGCTGCTGATGAGAATGGCTTGTGGGTAATGTATGCCTCAGAGGAGAGCAAAGGTAAAATCATCCTCGCTAAAATAGATGAGAAATCGTTTGGCATTGAGGACCAGTGGAACACCGGTGTGTTCAAGCAGTTGGCCGGCAACGCTTTCATGGCCTGTGGAGTCATGTACGCCACCAGGTCGGTGGATCTGAACACAGAGGAGATCTACTACGCGTTCGACACGAAGACCAAGCAGGAGAAACACCTCAACGTCCGCTTCCAGAAGTTCCAGGAGAAATACACCAACCTGGACTACAATCCCACCGATCAGAAGCTCTACATGTACAACAACGGCTACTATGTGACCTACAATGTCAAGTTTAACAGAGAATGATCCCTCTGCTTTGTAATCTGTCGTATTGTGATTGATACGATTGATCTGTATTTACTCACTTTTTCACTAGAGCTCTATAAAGCTATGTATTGTCACACATAGATTTTCTACTGTCTTTTCCTGAATAAAATCAGACCGAAGCATTGAAACTGTGTGAAATTCTTTTAACTTTCTGTTCATAAAATAAAACTATCACAAATTAACTGATACACACAATAAGAGGAAAAGATCATGATTAAAAACCAGCTGTATCTTCATTAGATTTAAAATTGGCACATAAGCCAAATACACATCAGTCAATCTATTATATAAATGTTGTAATTAGGATCATATGATATTTAAATTGAAGTTGGAAAATTACTTATAATAAGCTGTGATCAAATTTTATTAAGAGTTTTGGCTTGGGCACAGTGCACCAACATACTTATTTGGGGTTTTCATGGGTACACATTTCTTTTCTATATGCATTTGTAATTGACATGTGATAACCTTTATGTATAGAAGTAGATGTGTGATGCATTGCCAACACAATATTTCAGTTACTTGATTCTAAGTCTTCTCCATGATTAATTGAAAAGGGGGAAAAAGGTCAACCAACAGAAATATGATTACCAAAAACAAAAGTCAGTTTACATCGGAGGTTGAACAGGATTTACAATCAAATTGAATAATGGATCCAAGGGTAAAGTTGCCAGAGCTGATGTCCAAATGTCACACAAATATAATATAAGGACAACAGTATCAAAAGAACAGAGATACACAACATGTTAAAGATATAAAGTCAAGTAGAGAAGGTGCAGGTACTGGAGCAGAGAAGTGTAATCAGTCATTGTATCTTTTAATGATCACACAACAGTGTCAAAGTCAACATGCAGTTATTGCTCTCTTCTGCTTGCACAGAGGAGAAACAATGCTCATGGTAGTGTCTGCTTTTCCAATCCAGAGGGACAGCATGAATCAAGAATAAGTTGCTTTGCTACACTTATATAGCATTTTAAGTTTTTCTCCAGGGTGTAATGAAAGCTTAAGATTAATTTTAAAGCAATTAGCTCCAGCTAATCAAAATACCAACTGAGTGAAAAGAGAAATTGACAATCAAATATCACAAGTCTAGGCAAAAAATTGTGTATTTTGCTCCTGATTTAAGTATAAACTCTGAATGCAAAACAGCTCTGTTGTATAGTGAGCTCGTAATCATCGTGCCACTTCAGGCCACATGTTGGCTCTTAGCATCATAAAAGTGGGTGAGACCTTCCCCCTATTTATTTGTCACACTGTAGCGTGAGATAACAGATAATCATTGCTTCACATAAAAACACTTTTTTACATATGTGGTGCCTCTGTCAAATGAAACACTTAATTGTGTTTCATTTTTCAATATTTAGTGCACTTTGTTTTCACCAGCAAAGTATTGTCTTACATAAAAACAAAACTAAAATGTTCCAGAGTTTTTCAGCAGTTAATATTTCCATCCTTATGTCTTTTTCAGTCACTAAATAAACTAAAATTTCTCAGAGGAAAAAACCCAATTACATATCATTATGTAGCAATCCCAGGACAGTGTGTTTAACATGCACACCTGCACTGATCTCAAGGATGCTAGTAAAATAGCTATTACTGTGGGATGACGTCACACGCTCTCTGTTGGCTGAATAGAGGTGTAAAACCCTTCGATCAGAATAGCAAGCAGACATCCTGCCAGCAGACACACAATGCCTCTGACTCTGCTGCTTCTCCTTCCCATACTGAGCCCTGCGCTGGCTTGGCTCGTAAGTTTCAAAGATGACTGCTAGTCCTTATTAAAATGTGTTCTGTGTAGTATCTTAATAAGATAACTGAGTTTCCTTGCAGCCGGTGGAAGACTGGGAGTCAGGGAACGTGACCACATCTGGTGGAAGAGATGAGTGTGTTTGCAGTGTGTTCCTGCCCGACAGCAACTTCCCCGCTGACCGAGTGGAACACATGCAGCAGGTTACCACTGACCTGAGGCTGGAGGTGGAGATCCACATGAATAAAGTAAGTATGACACACCATAGCCAGTGTTTTTCATGATGTTTAGAAGTTTTGAGCAAGTGTGTCAGATGACTAAGCCATATTTTGGTTAGATTTTTTTCAAGAAGAATCTTAAATCCAAATATATCATAAGTAAAAGAAAAAATGAAAATTGAACCACAAAAGTAGATACATCATGAAAGGGAATTACATGTGTAGTTTTATCTGTATATAGATACTATATATGATACTTTGACACTATATATATATATATATATATATATGTTGTCTTTGTTTGGTTTTCGTGTCTTATTTGATTTGTATTTCTACACTGTATTTGCCTGTGCATTTGCTCTCTATCTTTAGTAAAAGCCATGGGCAATCAGAGTCAGAAACCTTGTATGTGCCAACATATTTGGCATACAAAATGCATTCTGATATTCTTTTTTATTTGCTGTCAGACCAAGTAATCTGATATTAGGTATATTTTTTCTAAAATATACAATGTGCTGTTGCAATAATCAACCATTCAAAATGTTACTGAGAACCATAATCAGCCACAGACTGTTTAGAGTAAAAATTAATACAGAATAACGTTTACATCATTCCTGTTTTGTGGTTAAGTTGTTGAAGATAAAATATTATGTTGACCATACTGTAGGATGAAGTTGGACACTGGTGATTACTATAGCTGTAAATCACAAGTGAAGTCATGACACAATATTATGCTGATTCTTTCAGGGACAATACAATATTTGATGATTCTACAAGCTGATTCAATTTTGATTCGATTCAGTTCAGGGGTCTGCAATCAATATAGGATATCAGTAAATATCCTCATTGTCTGCCTGGTGCTATAGGACACTAGCACTGATTCAGTGTTAAGAAAAGAGGTACACTTGGACAGAAATGGTGTTACATTTCAAAATAAAGGTGTAACTTAAAGATGACAATATGTTTTTATGTTTTTACTTTGCACTGATTATATTGGATTGTATATCAATAAATTGATATATACTATATATCCAGATTGTTACATCCCTAGTGATAACTACCTACAGGAAAAACATTTTTTGATAGATTATTATTTTTATCTATATTTAAAGATATTTTTTAAATTTGATTTTAATGAATTTTTATTTTATCTTATTTTATTTTATTCTATTTTAGTTTAGTTTATTTTGGTTTATTTTTGTCTTGTGTATGTTTCTATATTGAAGCAATTATGTGTAATAAAAATTAAGTAAGGAAGTGTTACAACTATATGACAGCAGTTGCTTCACAGTGTACAAACTGCTGGATGTGTGTCTTCCAGCTCACCCATGACGGAGGCAAACTGGATATCTTCTTGGCAGAACTGATGGACCTGACTGTGAGAGTGGCCATGCTGGAGAGCAGCCCCGACAACTACATCAAACTGGACTTTGAGCTGCTCAGGATTGAGCTCCAAGAGTTCGAGGCTCTGGTGTCTCAGCTCAGAGACTCCCTCAACTCCACCTCGCCCATGCTCGACAGTCTGTACACTGAGGTGAGAGGTCAAGCTCAAGACTTTACTGCTCCTGTCATCTTACCGGTTATAATGGTAACTGTGTTTGTTTGTGCCAGATCCACAACATGACCCTCATCGTGAACCAACTGGAGACGTTCGACAAGAGCAACCTGGAGGTGATCCGCATTGAGTTTGCTAAGCTGCAGAAGAAGCTGCAGGAGTGCCAGAAGGAGCAGGAGTTCATCAAGCCAGATATTGGTGAGACCATCAGCCAGCTCTTTTTTTTTTGCAGTAGCTGGTCAGCAAGGTGAATGTGATAGTGAATGTTTTCTTTTCTTCCCAGGCAACTGCAATCACACAGGAATAATGAGCATCAGCAAGCCTATTGTCACCCAACTGAATGCTCATCTGAACCCAGGGTACCTGTATGGGGGCTGGGGTAAAGACTCCAAACCAGTTCGAAGCTATGAGTCAATGTACTGGTACGGTGCGTACAGCAGCCCCTCTGTGTATGAGTTCTACTTGTATTCTAATTATGACAAACTCATTCAGAGATCCTCCTTCACACACCACACTCTGCCACAAGGTTACCAAGGCAGTGGTAATAACTACATTGTCCATGGTAACACTGTGTATTACCAGGCTGCCAACCCATTCAGAATGTCCAAACTAAACCTGACGTCCTCTGTGTATAGTCACAGACAAATCACAAAAGCAAGCGAAAGATTCACCTACACGTATTCACCAAACCAGTACCTGGACTTCTCAGCTGATGAGAAAGGATTGTGGGTAATGTATGCCACAGAGGAGGCCAAGGGTAAAATTGTCATTGCTAAGATAGATGAGAAATCATTCGGTATTGAGGATGAATGGACCACTGGTGCCTATAAGCCTCAGGTAGGGAATGCTTTCATGGTGTGTGGAGTTATGTATGCCACCAGGCCTGGAGATCTGAACACAGAGGAGATCTATTACTCATATGACACCAAGACTGGAGAGGAGAAATACATGAGTATTCCCTTTCAGAAGTTCCAGGAGAACTTTGTCAACCTGCACTACAATCCCACCGATCAGAGGCTTTACATGTACAACAACGGCTATTATGCGTCCTACCATGTGAGGTTTAACAAAGGATGATGCCTCTTGTTTTTGATCTGCCGTATTGTGATTGATACAAATGATCTTCTTTACTGACTTTCTTAGCTATCTGTGTACTTTTGAACTGTACTTTTCATTTCTGAAATAAAATCAAAATTGAGCATTCAAATTTTTGTCCTGTTTTGTTTCAATTTTAGTATAAGTCTACAAAATAAAGCATGACTGCACAAACATTTGAGAAGAAAAAGCATGGTTGCCTCACAGCAAAAGGGTTCCTGGTTTGAACCTGAGGTGAAAGGTTTGCATGCTCGGGTACTCCGGCTTCCTCCCACAGTCCAAAGACGTGCAGGTTAGGTTAATTGGTGATTCTAACATTCTCAACGTAACACAGGGTGGGTAATTGATGTAAAAATGATCACTTTTTGGTTGGAGTATTCCTTTAAACTAAACCCGACCCCTCCCTTTCTGCTTTTTGGGTAAGGCTGCAGCATCTGATACATCTCAAGCCCCCCTCCTCTTCTGCCATCCTGCTCCATGCTGGAGCCTCCACCCCCTTTTGTAAGCTGGCCCTCCCTTGGGGTGGGGGGGTAACGACTCTCCTTTGTGCTGTGGCTGGAGCCTGGCTCCATCTGGTACTGAGCACCAAGACCCAGCAGATTATGGCTTCTGGGCAGGGTGATCCCTCCATTCACTGTGGATGGGAGACTTCAAAGCAATACTGCAATTCATAATCACTCTATAGATTGAGGACCTTTCATGTGGAATTTGTCAACACTAAAAGCTGAACACAATCCATCATGGAAGTAGAAGTCAGGGTTGAAGAAGGCCTTCAGTCAGTGTACACAAAAACAATACTGTCTCTTTAAAGCGGCCAGCATCTGTCAGGATGAGAGAGGGGGAAGTGAGGGCCTTGTGTGAAATGGTACCCTGAAGTGACATCATGCTCAGCCAATCAGCAGCCTCGCCTGAGCTCTTTCCTCCTCCCCTGCTCCTGAGATGAGTGTGTTGAGGCTGCTGTAGTCACGGGCTGCTGCTGCTGCTGCTCCCGCTGCTGATGCTGCTGCTGGGGTGGAGGGTCCAGGGCATGCTCGCCTCACATCAGGTACTGTGTCTGTGTGTATCTGTGCTCTGCACTATTTGTTCATCTATGTATCATGGTGGGTTGCTACCTCCTTGGCAATGGAAGGGCATGTTGAGAAGATGATGATGCAGGAGACTGAAGATGGCTTTGTGTGTTTCATAACACTCCTTAGAGAGGATGTCGCCTCCATGACTGTAGTCAGGATGGGGTGTGTATGTGTGTGATGTTTGTGTTTTAGTCTGTAGCAAAGAAATATTATATTTTACACCAGTGGGAGGTTTTCTAGTCAACATTAGCCCTCCCATTGTACATGTGTGTAATGTAAAAGAAGACCAATTTCATAATATTTGATGTTTTTTTTTTCATCTATGTCAGCAAATAATTTAATTGCCCCTTGGAAATAATCCACTTAATGTGATTGTGTAAGTGTGTCTGTAGATCACATGAGCGTGTCCACAGTGTGGCATATATTATTGGGATGATATACTAAGATTTAGGTGTCGACACTTTCCCCACTGTAATCTTTGGGTTCCCATGATCCTGTAGGGATACACGACTTCATCATTTACCTGAGACACACCACAGTGTGCCTCAGGGCTGTGAGTCATCTCACTGTCATCTTGCAAATCTGCTTCTTTCCATTCATCAGAAATAGTAGGCACAAGCCTGTGCTCACTTCCTGTACTGGTCCGGGGGTTAACTCTTTGTTTCCGCTGTCTCAGATAATCATGCTGTGCCGCAAAGACCTGAGCCTTGGAGTCACTGGGGGCAGACACACACCCAGCCCAGTGACAACAGACAGAGATGTGTGCTGCTGTTGATAAGACAAGGGAGCAAAGGTGAGAACACTCTTTAAGAGCAGCCGCGTGGATCACTCACAACAGCTTTAGTTTCAGTTCTGTTTAAAGAGACAGCTTGCTCATACCTCTTCTCTCTGTCATGTCTAAATTAAGCCCCACTGAATCAACAGTGATGTCTAACTTTTTATGCTGTGCTCAGGCCCATCTGGTCCTCGACAGGTCCAAAACAAGGCAGCGATGGCAAAGAGAGATTACCTGGTGGAGGCGGCCAAGCAGATCCGCATGGCACTGGACAGCGAGGTCAATGAGGACTATGAGGCAGCTTTCAGTTACTACAAGAACGGGGTGGACTTGCTGCTTAACGGGGTTCAGTGTAAGTCAACGACATTTGGGCTTTTACACAAGTATACAAGGCTGTGTGATAATGAGGAATTCAAAGAAGCGTGTTTGCACGAGACATGTGATGGGAGCATGTGGACCAGAATAAAAACAGGAAGTCACAAACCAAAGGTTAAACACAGATTTCCTTACTGGTCAGACATTTCCCCCACAGTGTGAGTAGATAACCGTCTGGAGGCAAACCTTTGATAAAGGCTAAGGTTTAATAAGATCAGGGTCTTCATTCACACAGCTACAGTATTTTCCTTTGTTTTTACTGGTGCCTCACAGAGTTCTACTGTTTTACAGTGGACCCAAATAAGGATCGTAGGGAGGCTGTGAAGAGGAAGACGACTCAGTATCTAAAGAGAGCTGAAGAAATCTTCATAACACATCTACAGGACAACCTAGGGAAGGGAAGCTCTCATTTGGGGGTAAGACAATCATCCTTTACTGTTACTTACGGAAAGCAAATCTTATTGTCACTCATTTGCTCTAAACAAGGGCGTACGTTTCATCCAACACTGGGGAGACACATACGAAATGGAGCGTTTGGGGTCCTCTCCCAGGAAATTTAAGCATCCAACACTTCATTTGCTGACTTCTGCTGAATATTTCTGCATCAATTTAAGGTGGAAATGTCTTTCAAAGTCCTGTGCAAGTTTCAGGTTTGTATTAGGGAGACAAATGCACACATTCTAAATATTGAGGAGGACATGTCCCCTGCGTCCGTCTGCAATCTATGCCTATGGCTCTGAATGTACAGTGTATATAATTCCAGTACGGGCTTGAGGCATTTTTAGTTTTCATGTCAGTCTAATATTGGATAAGAACATAGGGGAGCACGTCCTTTATTGCTTCTTACATTAGATGAAACACCCAGTGCCTGTCTGTCTCATACAAAGGCAAGGCAGGTTTATTTATAAAGCACATTTCAGCAACAAGGCAGTCCAAAGTTCTCTACAAAAAAACACCAGAAACATCCACACAAAATGCAAAAAACTCAACTCAAACTCATTGAAGCAAAAGACAATAGAAAATAAAAACAAGGTCAAAATAGAATAAGACAGGCATGGAATTCACAAATCAAAGTAGCTCTCCAGTAGTGAAATGCATACATTTTTGATTCAATAAAAGGCAGCAGGAAACAAAAAGGCATTTAGCCTTGAGTTGCAGCAGACCTGCACTTCTCTGGGAGCCTTATAAATCTCAAATACTGTGTGAAAATGTCTTGCTTGCAATTTGCTGTGTTGCTCTGTCGCTGACAGCCTCTGTGGCTTTCATCATCAGGGTTACAGCAGTCTGAGATTCCGTCCAATCAGACATTTGAGTTCGCCTGTGGAGGATCTGGAGATGTGTAAGGTGGTGGGAGTGACTGATAAGGTAAGACTGTAACACTTAACTGCTTTTGTGTCTCCATATCAGTGTCTGCTTTGTGTATTGACACCACTTGATGTTATTTTTTCTTTATTCCAAAGGTCCTGATTGTCCAGAGTATGGTCAATAAGGAGACATTTGTTGTAAAGGTGAGTATTTGGTTTCTTCTACAAGTATCGCGCTACACTGAAGGAAAGCAGAGATGCAGTCCAGAGTATATGCTCTATCCTATAATACATTTAAATTAAAGACAGGTCCATTGATAGTAGAGATGTTGTGGGGGCTGTCATCTGGCAGTGAGCCAGTCCTTGTATTGTGTGGCAGGCCAGTCGATGGGAGCTCTCTCCAGCCTGTCTTCCTGAGTATCATCCAGCATTGATCTGCCTGAAAGCTCTCACCCTTTTAGCCAGTGCAAGTGCACCTCAAATTTCAGTGACCAGAGAGACATGGTAATTTCTAAAGGGGCAATCCAAGCAGACCATGCTTTATTTAATACTAATACCAAAGGGAAAGTTTGGATCTTTTAAAGTGGGGTTGTATGAGGTATTTATCCATAGTCAGTGTATTGCCTAGAGTTGATGTCAGACAGCACACCCCCAGTTTGGAGAAGCAGGCAGGAGTCTGTCACAGAAACTAAGTAGTGTACTGCTGTGGACAGGGGCAGCAGCAAAACATATGTTAGCCACCTAAAATAAGTTTCTCCTAAAACATCAATAGTATTTTAACTATCTGCTGTATTTACAATATTTTCTGACGGGGAACTGAAGCCGTTATATCGCTCTCATCAAAGCCAGACTCTATTGAGAAAAGAGTGATTTAACATCTCTGAACACAGGAGCTGCTGGTGTACTGCTGCCTTTGATCAGTTATTTTGTTTGTGTAACTGTGTGACTTTGGCGTGTGAAAAAGTTTGAAAGGATTCACCAAAGTCACACAGTTAGGGCTCATTTATGCTCAACGTTAGATACAGAGACAAACAGAGCCTCCTGTCTATACTCGTTTACGCGTTTATTTCATCTGTATTTGTGCACATTTTCTGAGAGCTTACAGATACGGATGAAATGGAGCAGCTCCCCAGGAGGCAATGGAGATCATGGGGGCAGTGTGGTGTATTTCAAGCGAGATACAACCATAGGAGGTGATAATGAAATTAAAATAATGGCAGAACCGTAATATAATTGATTATAAAAGAATTCTCCGTGCACATCAGCATGTATATAATGGCATACAGACTGCCATCTACAGTGCTGTCTCCGTTTAAAGGCACTATATTATGTCCTCCTTCACCGTCACCTCGTTTGCTGTTGTGTGAAAATTTTGACTCTGTCTTCTAGTGCCATTTATTGGCGGTATCTATGCCAGCATAAAGGACACATGGAGGTATGAGGGCAGTGATGTTTACAATGTTTAAAACAGACAAATTTATTTTCGTACCTAAAGGGAGTATAAATAAACTGTAGCACTGACTGATTGAGGCAGTGGTAGACGAGCAACACTCATGTTCAGCAAGCCAAAATTTCTGGTCTTGTCAGT